GATAAAGAAGATGTAGTTCATATATACATAGAACTACTACTCAGCCATCAGAAAGGATGAATACCCACCATTTGCATCGACACGGATGGAACTGGAGGGGATTATGCTGAGTGAAATAAGTCAAGCAGAGAAACACAAATACCATACAATTTCACTCATATGTGAAATATAAGAAACAAAACATGAACATATGGGAAGGGAAGGAAAAACAAAATGAGATGAAAACAGAGAGGCACACAAATCATAAGAGACTCTTAACTACAGGAAACAAACTGAGGGCTGCTGGAGGGGAGGGGGTGGGGGGATGGGGAAACTGGGTGATGGACATTAAGGAGGGCATGTGAGGTAATCAGGACTGGTCAATGACTGATGAATCACTGAGCTCTACCTGTGAAACTAAAAATACACTATATGTTCATTAATTGAATTTAAATAAAAAGTAAAAATATATATAAGCATTCCAAAATATATCTAATGAAATATAAAGTATATGCAAATGATATCTTAGGACACAAAGAGCCACGTGCCATTAGACAAAGAATGAAAAAAGGAAAGGGATAAACTGGACCTCATAAAAATTAAAAACTTGTTCATTTAAAAAAAAAAAAAAAAGTTGGGACACCTGGGTAGCCCAGCGGGTTAAGCTGCCTAATCTTGATTTCAGCTCAGGTCATGTTCTCGGGGTCGTGAGATAATCAGGCTCCATGCTCAGCAGGGAGACATCTCTCTCTCCTGTCTGTACCCTGCCTACCCCCACTCTCTCAAATAAATCAATCTTTAAAAAAAAAACAAACAGAACTATTCAGTGTAGAGATTACATATAGACATACATAACTCAACAAATGATGACTAAAGAAGTAAATAAGTAAAAAGAAAAAAAGCACCATGAGTCAGTTACCAGGAACAACAAATAGCAGCATCAGACCCACAACTATGGGTATCAGAATTATCAGACATAGAATATAAATACTCTTATTTAATATACTTAAATGTAATACATATTTTAAGAATAAAAGGAAGAGGGTGCCTGGGTGGCTCGGTAGGTTAAGCATCTGACTCTTGACCTCAGCTCCGGTCTTGATCTCAGGGTCCTGAGTAGGCACCATGTGGAGTCTACTTTAAAAAAAAATAAAAGGACGAATTTATTTATTTAAAGATTTTATTTATTTGAGAGAGAACGAGTGGGGAGAGGGATAGAGAAAAAGGAAGAAGGCTTCCCGCTGAGCAGGAAGCCTGAGGAGGGGCTGGGTCCCAGGACCCCCGATCAGGACCTGAGCTGAAGGCAGAGGCTTAACCGACTGAGCCCCCCAGGTGCCCCAAGACAAAGCGTTCTTAAACCCATTTGGAGCTGCCCGGTTCTTGAAGTGACATGTGATTAATTCTCAGGAAAGAAAGACTACCTTGAACCAGTGAGAGATTCCAACCATGACAGGCTGACCACTGAGCAGTACTTGCCTTCTGTATGTTTTCATTTCCTTTCAAACACTTTAAAAGGCTTAGTTCACTGGCTATAAACAGATTAAGAAAACTGTTCATTTTACAGGCCCCAAACCTCCCTGTTAGCTGAACCGTGGAGAGGGATGGGGCCAAAGGAAATACCCGTTTCTTCGGTACGCGGAGGAAATCAGTGGAGACGCTCAGTGAACCAGCAGCTCACAAAGGGCGGGGACACGGGGAAGGGTGTGCACCTGCAGTGGGTACAGGTGTAGAAGACCGTCTGCCCCTCGTCGGCCGAGCGCATCTGTCGGGTGTGGTAGGCCATTCCTTCGTGGCCACATCGAGAGCAGCGCCTGTCAACCTGGCCAGGAACAGGCGCGGGGAGGCCGTGTCAGGGAGGCCCCGTCCCATCCCTACCCCGGGCTGCCTGCGGGAATCACACGTCACACTCCACCCGGCTGCTTCCCGCCAGACCTCGGCAATCACCCCTGCACGTCCTCGCCGCCCTCCCAATGGGGTCATTAGCTCACCACGGGTCCCTGGAACTCGGACCCTTCCTCCGCCGGCACAGGCGCGGCCGTCCCCGGCTTGTTGAACACGACGCAGGTGTTCACGACCTTCCCCTCGAAGTCTGCGCGGGCGGGAAGCACGGCTGTGGGCACTCGCGCCGTCCTCCCCGCAGGCTCCCACCCGGGGCCCCCGGCGTCAGGCCCGCCCGCCGCCCCCGCCACCCCCCGGGGCCGCTCACCTCGCACCGGGACGCGGAAGCCGCAGCGAACACAGGTGACCGTGTCCTGCGCCCCGGGCAGCGGCAGGACGGAGCCGCAATCCGGACAGAAGTCCAGGTCCGACTGGAACCTGGAGCCGGAGCGGGCGCCGTCCATGCCGTACCGGGTGCGGAGGGACGGAGAGCGGCCCCTCCGCCGGACCGAGAGAGCGGCGGCAGCGCGAGCCCCACTCCCTGCACGCGCGGGGCTTAGTGTCTAGAACCGCAGGCCGCGTGCGGTCCTCCAGAGCAGACGAGCGCGCCGGCTCCGCGCGGGGCGAGCCAGAGCGTCCGCCGCGCCGGCTCGCCATTGGCCGTGACGTCATAGTCCGTCGCCGCGCGCCGCGGAGCCTAGCGGGTGGGAGAGCGCTGCCTGTGGTGGCGGCGGAGGCCGGCCGGGGAGGACGGTAATGGGCGCGTGGCCTCGGTTGCTGCCCCTCCGGGAGGAGCTCTCACCTGGAGCGTTAATGTTCCCTCAGCCGCGGGGGCATTGGCCCTAGAAATCCTGCGGCCCTTCCCGAGTCCCGGAGCGGGGTTCTGTCGGGGGCGGCGCCCCGGGGCCTCCGAGGCCGAGCAGGGTCTCTCCGCCTCCTCTCGGGGCTTCGCGTGCTCTGGGGGCCGGGCCCATCGGGGCCTCCTCCGGGGAGGAGGCGGGGCGGGCGGAGGTGGAGGACGGGCCGGGCCTGGAGCTCCACTCCCGGGAGGAGGCTCGGGACTGGGTCGAGGACAGGGCGGGCAGGCCGGCGTCCGTCGGGGGGCAGCCCTGGTGCATTTCCCCGGGACCCGGCTCGGCTTTTGGCTCGCGGATCCACCTCCGCCTCGTCCCCCCTCCGCCTCGTCCCCCGGCTCTGGCGCAGCGGTCAGTGAATTCTGGTCGTCTTGCGTCACGTGGTGACTTGACGTTTCCCTAATCCAAGAGTTACAAAACACGAGGGCCAGTATCTTCAGAAAATCATGCTGTTGTCGTTCGTCTGTGACTTACAGCTGGAGTAGACCCTTGTCCCCGAGTTTCCCAGTTCCGTGCTGGCCCCGCCAGCGCCGGCCGACCGGGGAGCTGTGCGAAGCTCTCCCTGCAGGGGAAGGTTCTGGAGCCGTCCCTGCCCCTCCTCAGAGACAAGTTGTGGCCTCTGCTGGGCAGAGGCCCGCTCTGCCTTTTTTGCAGTGATGGACAGACCATAGTGATGGGGTTGGAGCTGCCAGCAAGCTCCTGAGGGTTCCCACGATTTCCCTTCGCGGGTGTCATTGTGTCTGTGAGAAAGGAAGGTCTGCTGTTCCGCCCACGAGGCAGGCGGTTTTTATCCTGTGTGTCTCCTTTGAAAATGGAAGTTGAAATGAGCTTGTTCCCCTTTCTAACTTTAGTTGGACGGGCATCCAGAGACTGTCCACCCTGGGTTGACTGCGGCCTTCCTTGTGCCGCCTGCTGTAAGGCGTGGCCACTTCTCAGCACAGACTCAGTCCAGCTGTATTTATTAAGCTGAGGCTGGGGCTGCAAAGTTGAAAAATGTTACGGGACCTTAAAGAGACCAAACGAGAATGCAGTGAGAGTACACCGGTCGGACCAAGTGTGGGAGCCCAGGACAGGCCCGGGAAAGAAACCTGTGCCTTGGGAGTGAATGGCAAATGTTTCAGCAAAAAGATGGATACAGGGGATGCCTGGGTGGCTCCGTTGGTTGGACGACAGCCTTCGGCTCAGGTCATGGTCCCGGAGTCCCGGGATGGAGTCCCGCATCAGGCCCAGCTCCACGGGGAGTCTGCTTCTCCCTCTGACCTCCTCGCTCATGCTCTCTCTCAAATAAATAAATAAAATCTTTAAAAAAAAAATAGATGGATACAGCGTTATGGGGAATGTAGCAGAGAGATGCTCAGATTTGTGATAAGGGTAATCAGCAAATCGTGAACTTTGAGAATTTGGGTCGCGTACTCTAATGTTCAGTACTGTGCTAGGTTCTACATACTGAGAAAAGTAAGATGGTTGTATTTTTTTAAATATCAAAATAGATTTACTTAGACAAATAAGAATGTGTCTAAGAAGTCTGTGAGGTCCAATATTTGGTATCAGATTCATTCTAATACATTTGTAGATGTAAATTTTAAGTTACACCCTTTTAGAGTCTAAATTTCAGTGTGAAAATGTTAAAGATGATAGAGGAATACAGGTATACCAGTGTAAACCCTGATTATTTTCCAGTGAGTTTTAGAGGTAATGATTAAAAGTGTTCAGAAGAAGACAGAAATCATTGTTACACAGACTGTTTCAGAAAGACTTGATAGAATCAGGAGCTTGACTTGTGGGGGGAATTATCTGCCATTTACTGAGAACTTACCACATGTCAAGCATTGTGCCAGGCGCTTTCATCTAATGTACGTTTGTTCTTTATTACCCTGTGAAGCAGATGTTTGTTTTCCGTGTCCATTTTATAGATGATGAAGCTGACTGAGATTGTTACTTGCCCGGAGTCACACACCTCAGAGGCGGTTTGATTAGGATTCAGATGTAGCCCTGTCAGGCTTCAAAGCCCATGCTCTTTGCCATAAACAGTACAAAAGGCACAGAGATGAAATGCCAGGCATCCCCAGTGGCTTCAACACGACCTCACAGTAAACTCAGATTAGACCAGGGATGACACATAAAAAGTTGGCAGTCTTCACTTGTGTTGCCATCAGCCTGGCCCATTAAAAAAAAAAAAAAAAAGGATAACCACAAATTCCCACCCTCAGGTGCTGAGCAGGGAACAGTTTCACAATGGATTTAGGATGAAGGATAAGTGGCAGTATAAGGCAGGAAAGCAGAGGGGCAGGTGATCACGTAACAATTTCAGAACCAAACATTGGAAGGCAGAGATGCTGTATGTGCTGATAGAGGCGGAGAGGGCCCGGGTCAAGAAGCTGCAGAGAGAGGAGGGACCGAGAGCACTGCACTCTGGAAGTCTCTCGGAAGACAGAGGAGGCCGGGAGACAGAGCAGTCCAGCCCAGCCGAGCTTGCCCAGCGCCACACCCAGGAGCCTGCGTCTTCCCTCTCCCAGGCCCAGATTCCAGATTCAGAATGGTTCCTCTTGAGTCCACGGGAGATGTGCGTGCCTACTTTCTGTGAAAGGATTCGATGCTATTGTTAAATTCCCCAGAGGAAGAGATCCTCGCAGCAGGATCTCTCTTTCCGAGGGGACATACCCTTGGCGTTGACCAAAACAGTTGGTTACCCTGGTTCAGTCGGTATGTGAGTAGATAGTTTCTGACACCTCCCACGCTCTAATCTACCTCTGTTTTCTCTGTCTTCCAGTCTGGACTGGGCGAAAACCTCTACAGACCCTAGGATTGCCGTAGGTCAGCAGTCCCCACTGGAGAAAAAAATCTTGGTAAATAATCTTCACGTTGTACAGTTTGGAGCTACTAGGAGAAGGGGCCTTAGGCTTAAAATCCTGCCCAGGTGACCCCTCCCCAGAGGGGTCTACCCTGGCACATGTGTTTAGCTATATCCATACTTGCAAAACAGTATTATGTTCAAAATGCCCAATACTCTTTTTTTAAAAGTAGTTACTGATGGTGGTGGTGGGTAGTTCAACTCTGAGAGCTCAGAGTTTCACCTGGGGTGATGGGAATAAAAATCACAATTGTTAAACACCAAAGTAAACAAGAGACTGCAAATCTTCTCAGTGTCACTGATGAGGTGAAGCTCTTGTTTAAATGTGTTTAAAAAGACAGTCACCGGGGCGCCTGGGTGGCTTAGTGGGTTAAGCCTCTGCCTTCAGCTCAGGTCATGATCTCAGGGTCCTGGGATCGAGCCCCGCATCGGGCTCTCTCCTCAGCAGTGAGCCTGCTTCTCCCTCCCTCTGTCTGCCTCTCTGCCTACTTGTGATCTCTCTCTCTCTGTCAAATAAATAAATAAAATCTTAAAAAAAAAAAAAAAAAGACGGTCACCTTATAAAATTCTGTGCCTCACTTTGACAGAATCTGGGTGGCGTGCATACAGCAGCGGCAAGACAGCTGATAACTCGGAAATACCACGAGGAATATGAAACATTGTGCAGGGAGCAAGCTCTTTCTCTTGACCACTGGCTGGCCAAAGCGGAGTCTTACTATAATAAGAGAATAATGGACATGATGAAGGAGCAAGAGACAGGCCATGAAGTCAAGAAGAGATTGGAGGGGAAGACGACCCACAGGCTAGAGAGACCAAAGCAGTATTACTTGGTTCCGGAGAGAGAGGTGAAACACATAGAAAGGCACATTCAGAGAGCAGGTTGGGTCAGAGAGTCTAAGAACAAACCAGGTAAACAATTGCCACGGCCCCCTAGTGAGACAACGTTCCCCAAAATTGTGCCAGAAGAGCATGGTGTCCTGAGCGCCCAGAGAAGAAAGCAGGTAAGCGAGAGGGAACAGATGCAAATCCAAGGTCACCAGGAACGCATGCTTCGGGGGAGAGAGCTCGCGGAGCAAAGGCGCAAGGAGCGAGTCTTGAGGAAAACCCAGAGCCATCTGCCAACACGAGAGAGGCGTGGGAGAGCAAGGAGAGAGATCAAAGAGCTTGAAAGTGTGACTGCGTATCCCCTTTTCCAGCCACGCGGTAGAAGCCGGATTAAAGTGAATATCCTTATGGAAAAGAATAGAGAAGAAGTGCCTGCCATCATAAAACCACATCAAAGAAAATTCTTAACCATGCCACCCTTTCTGAGAAGCCAAATAGGAAAAATAAAAGACTAGTAAAGTTTCAGTGCTTTGAGAATAAAACCCTGTGTCTTAAGTGAACTCTTGGTTTTAGTACTAGTTCCCAACTGTCCCCAGAGAGTGTGCATCAGATACGGAATATCGGATAGCTCTGGGCTAGAAACTTGGCGGAGCTGTCTTCGTTCCCTCGTGTTCGTGCACCTGGCGAATCCTTGACGTCCAGTGTCATCAGCCGGAATGTCGTCGGGCAATGATGGTGAGGAAGTAACTGGGATCTGCCGCTGCTCAGGCCCCACTCCCAGCCCACGACAGCTGTCTTGAGGTTGTCGTAGGTCAGTCTATGGTCTTTCAGTTCCTGTTTGTACGGGACTACTGACCAGGTCTTCCATGTCTGGACTACTGGACTACTGACCAGTTTGTACGGGACTATAGTTTGTACGGGACCAGTTTGTACGGGACCAGTTTCTTCCATGTCTGGACTACTGGACTACTGACCAGTTTGTACGGGACTATAGTCCCGTACAGTTTGTATGGGACTACTAGTCCAAACTGGACTACTGACCAGGTCTTCCATGTCTGGCTTGCACCCTACAGTTCTGTCTATGTGAGGGACTTTGACAGCCTCCTGTGGGCCAGGTTTTGTGAGTGAATGAGAGGTCCCGGCCCTTGACTGGGCCACAAGTAATGGCATAGATCGCCCCAAACACGGAGTGTGCTCAGGGTTAGGATGGAGGCCTGTGCGGTGCTGTGCCAAGGAGGGACCCCGAGCCCAGCCCGGCAGAGTGAGGAGGGCAGCCACAGGACGCACAGCCCATGTAAGCAGTGTCTTCCCGAGGTTTGGGTCCGCTCAGATGCAAACTGGACTCACCCTCTCAAGCAGATGTGCCCCAACCCTCACTGACGAGTCAGAAGACAAACGTGTGCACTGAGCAAGAGTTTTCATCCCAAGCAGAATGAAATTTATGGATTTCATTTCATTTCCGGTTCATTTTCTTACCAGATAGCAAAACTTTGGGAAGGTAGGGGTGATCGTTGATGCGTAGAGAATAAGGAGTGGGGGCTGCCTAAAGAGCATTCTCCATCAGTTGTGGTCCCCACGCCCACCCCCAGACCAGCAGTTCACTTGCGACCTTGGCAGTGTGCCGCGGAACGTTCCTCGGTGACGGGGCTCTTCTGTGTTCGCCCTCCACTCGCTGTGCCTGCTGCAGACTGTGTCTCTGGCCTTCCGTTTCCATGTCCCGTGGGAGATCCTCTGCCCTGCATGGTTGTATCGCCTGGGTGCAAGGGGCAAGGGATGTGGAAACCCAAATCAGCAGGGCAAGGATAAGTCCCACATAACTGGGGATGCCCGAGACACTTCCTCTCAGGGTCCTGAGTTCGAGTCCTGCACTGGGTGTGGATACAACTTAACTTAAGTGGTTGTTTACCACGAGGATTTTCAGTTCTGGACACATTAGTGAGGTCAGCTGCCCCCTCTTTCTCCTCCAAATCTAGTAGAAAAGCAACTGGTGATTGCAAGGCAGTTTCCCAGCTCATACAGTTAGGAGTCAAAGTCTGGGGCTTTTGGCTCAGTTCAGCTAAACCTGATTCCATCATCTCTGCCCGACGCGCAGTTCACCCTTTATCTCCCGGACCATGTATGAGCAACACCGTAATTACCCCAAGCCAAGCACCCTTAAAGCATGAGTCACACTTGACGCTTTTCTTTTGTTTGTATTCTTTTAAGATTTTATTTACTTGCTTGAGAGAGAGCGAGCACAAGCAGGGGGAGCGGCAGAGGGAGAGGGAGAAACAGGCCCCCTGCAGGGAGCCCGACGTGGGACTCAACCCCAGGCCCCTGGGACCATGAACTGAGCTGAAGGTCAGGTGAGCCCGGAGCTTTTGCAGTTCTCGGGGCGCTGTGATTGTGTGCTGCGAGCCCATTCTGTGAGGTCTGTTGAAAGGAGGAAGGACGTTTGCTGACTGCTGGAAGCAGAGCAGTGTCCAGGAGAGCCTGGCCCCAGAGTGCAAACTCACTGCAAACTCACTGTAAACTCACTGCAAACTCAGTGCAAACTCACTTCTTACCTCCCATGTGCACAGTCAGCCTTTCTTTGTTCTTGTATTTAAGTGGAGGCACTGATATATCTTTGTTTACTTACTTGTTTTCTGATACCCCTCAGTAAAATTCATGACTTGATGCATCCCCTTTCTAGAACTTTCTCTGGTGCCTTCCGGACACGTCACTCTGTGCCTTCCTCTCAAGGCACCTGGCAGCATCATAAAGTGACATTCAAGTCTGAATAAAAGGGTTCCCGGAGGAGGAGGTCGGGGAGCGAAGGTTTGCAGGGATGCTAGGTGAGGCGGCTGTGCTATTTCTGTTACCTGCTGATGGAGAGTAAGTTGTCAGCCTTGAGCGCGCTATGACTTAGCCCCACAGAGTGTAGAGTTGTGGGGTTTGTTCGGGCCCGAGCATGGCCACATATCCGCTGGCATGAGGAAGGTAAGTTTGGGTCTAGAACGGAGACAACAAAAGTTTCCTCACCAGTTGTTCCAGTGGATAAATGAGAGGCTTTGTAGCATAGAAGGCTGTAATATCACGAAATGTCCTTCTACTGGTGTTCTTCCCCTGCTGAGCTGAGAAGTGGAGTTTGTAGAAGGTGAAAATGGATCAAGAAACACCACAAAGTATAAAGCCCCTGGTACCAAAGGTGTGAGACTGTAGCTCTCATCCAGCCAGAACTGTTCAAACAAGTCGCCAGAAAATGGGCTGGAGCCTAAAGAAATCTGTAGGGCTGTATTCGGAAAGGTGTCCGACGGTGACCAGCCCCGCCTAATGGAATGTGCGGCTGACCGCCAGCCTGTGCAGCCCCGTCTGCAGCACCCCACGCCGCTGGCCTTGTGGGTGACCCCCACAGATTGATGTTCACTCGACCCTGCTCTTATGCAGAGCACAGGCCTCCCTACCCGCTCTCTGAGGGAAGAGCATTCCTGTGAAACCTAGCGTGAGCCCACAGGACATCCACCAAAGCCCAACCCATTTCCCAAACGCACCTGCCGCCCCACTTCGTTTCTGCGCAAGCTCACATGACTACCTGCTTTTCCTAACAGAAGGACATCTGCAGAGGGTTTTCGCTCTTACGAGAGAAGCCCCCAGCCATGCTAACAGGTCTTCTGTACGCATGCAGTGGGCTGACGCAAACTCTCCAAAAGCAGGGACACATGCCTTTTTTCTGGGGCGCGAGGCCGCCAGGTGCAGTGAAATCGTGAGGCGGCAGCTGTGGGTAGCCGCACTCGACCGAATTCCGAGTTTGTAAGCATTGCCGAGAGAGGACAGTTGTGCGCGTCGGCCTCCTTCAGTATTTGGGTAGGTTTAACGCAGCAGCGAGCTCGGGGGCTGTGTGCGGCGCGGTTGGTTTTCTCTTTGATCATGTTTTTACAGTGGTAAGTTCTGTCCCAAACGAGACATGCCTCACAAACCATCACATGTATTGGTAAGGTGTAGCTCGAGAAGATAAGAAAACCGGGAAACTTGTGGCAGGAGCACACCGGCTGATACTGTTTCCTCAGAGCGTTCACACGTGAATGTAGCAGAAACTTCCAGGCACTAAGGTACAAGGGAAAATACATAGATACTGAGGGAAGGAGTTTCCTTCCTGTGACTTACTTTCTGTGGGTAGCAAGAGGCCAGGTCATCTGTTTAGAGGTAGAGGGAAGACAAGTCTTGAGTAGTGGGTTCCAAATGGACTAGGGATCTGGAATTTCTTATAACAGACTCCAGGCAAGAGCCTGCCCCACAGGGATAATGTTGGTCACGGGGATGAAAGCACAGGGAGTCCAGTCGAGGGTATCGGGATAGCACTGTGCGGGGACAGCATAGCTACCTCTGCAGTGAGCACTGCGCTGCCTGCTGGGCTGTCGGGTTATTTGTGAGATGACCACTGTGCCCTGAGACTACCGGAACGTCGTGGGGCAGCTACACTCACATTTAAAAAAAAATAATGCTGGGAAATGAGATGAGTTGAAAGGTAGTAAGGTCATGGTCAAATTTCTTGTTTGCAAGCCTTAGAAACTTGCTTGGGTGAGTATAAAGAAAAAAAATCAATAGAAAGTATCTGAAAATATTTTATGTAGTGGGCCTCACAGGAGATCGGAACCAAGGCAGTAAGTACACCCTCCTCACTCTCGTTTCCACATCTTTCCTTGTGTCTGCTGACTCCCATTCCCTCTGGGCTCTCATAGTGGGGAAGGGCACCTCTCCACCTTCTCAGAACCCTGTGCCAACGGCTGTTCTCTCTCCTCTCCACCCAACGGCTTCAACTGGAAGAGTTCGCTCCTGTTGAACTGTAAGTGTCCTCCAGTCTCTCCCAGCTAAACACGCGACTGTGCTATTCCTTTGCACTCCTTCCAAGCCAGATCTCCTAGGAGGTCTGTAGAAGCTGCCTGCCTTCTGGCCCCAGTGCCCATCAGTTCCCCAAACCGCCTTTCACTGGGTTGTCAGAGAGCTCCATGCAGCTAAATCCAATGGACTTTACGGGTAGAATGGAGCAAGGCAGAACCTGACAGGCACGTGGCACATGGGCAGCATCAAAGAGACTTGGACAGCTGGAGGGTAGGAATCCGGTCCCTGGAAAACAGGAGGGCAAGGACATCGGTAGCCCTGATGGATAGGGAACCGATGGAGCCCATTCAAGGAACAGCAGTAGGGCACCGAGGGTACAAAAGCAGCAAACAGAACACTCAGGATAAAAGACTGGAGCAGAAGTAGAAAGATGCACAAGACTGACCTGCTGACTTGGGCTTCACTAGGGATGGGCAGCCGCCAGCCGAGAGTGAAGAAAAGCCCAAAACAGAAGCAGGAGACAGAGCAGACAATTACTCTATCCCTCATGCTGAGTCAGGTATGTGAAACAGGACTTTGAACTCATTAAAGCGTGTCTGATAGTATCTTTAACCATGAAAGTTGAAATGCTTGGAAATGGAGCCTCAGGATGTACAGTTTACAAGACTGGTGCGTGGTTTTATGTAGATCTAATTATACAGCCTTCCCCTGGATTAGCCTCACAAATTAGAATAAGGGTGACCAGGGTCAGCAATGCCGT